AGATTAAGCTGTAATATTAATTATGCATTAATATTACTAATCGGAAGCGGCCTCCACCTAGGCATTCCGATCACTTGACCTTACTGAATATATTAGCTTTCTAATAATTCTAAACCCACTATCAGAATAAGGTATGACATTACGCTCTACTACGAAATATGTATGTAAATGTGATATATTATTCAAAAATGTATTGACGCCATTATATTGGGGTTCCATTTTGGTGTAATGAATAATTTGATAGTTGGATTTAAATTTAAAATTTGAAAAAGCAAAAGTAGCTTTTGAGTAATTTGAGAAAATTGGTTTCGATAACGTGTATTACAAGGATTTCAAAGAGATCAAAAGAAATCTTTTAGATACTCCGATAATTGTTGTGTATATTTCTTTCAGATTACGCAGGGATTTATATATAGTACCCTTGCATGAACAATGTTTACTCGATATATTAAACGTGCAGTGAAATGTCTAATCGAGCATAAGGTTCTGAGCGACAATATTTACTCTTACATGGGAAGCTAAACGGTGATGTTTGGCGGTATCTTTAATCTGTTCATATTACACATACGATGTGTATTACAACAATTACTTGTTAATTGAATTTTACTTGCATTTCAAGTGACAAACCCAAATTTTGGCTATTGTTTTCTTTTTTCTCGGCTTTCAAAGAATTATGAGAATCATTTAAATGGGAATCAATAAAGATCTTTATCAATTAATATGAAAATGGACATATAATTTATTAAAAATGAATATTATTGAAATCATATTATGAATTTACCTAAATAATAATGAATATTCATTTAAAGAATTTTCCACTCTACATAGATATCAAGTTGAAATTTAATATGTGAATGACTGTATACTAATATTTATACTTATATTTATTAATCATCTATTAACATTAGCCTGACTTTGTACTAACATGTATATATATATAACATGAAATCCTAATAATTTGATCCTAATTTTCTAGAAAAAGCACAGGAAAACCATTACTAACACAACAATTGAGTTGAAGCTACAATCCTCTGAAAATGGTTTAACTTTTGTGAAAGCATCAAGAGCCCTACTACTATGGACGAGCTGTTCCTGTTGCTTTTGCAATAAAAAAAAATGTGCTCTTTCTTCACTAAGAAACCCATCTTGAAAATTTACCTCCTCTCAAACGCTTAGATCGTGTTTATGGTTCCACCACTTGGTTGCAAACTACCCAGATACTCATCTTCTCCATCAGCCTATTTTGTTTTTGGATCATGCGGCTATTATTTTGTCAGATACGGTTGATCCGGACCATATTAAACGCCCTTATCGAATAGAAAATTGGTGTCAATCCGCTTTGGAGGTACATGGTATAATTGCTTCCGTTTTCTCCTTGTTCTTTCCAGGATCTCCTATGTTTTCCTTGTCTCGTAAACTTTCCATTTCTCGAGATCTTCTTCTTGCCAGGTGTATTTCTCATAAAAGGCTTGGGGGATTAATTGGAAGCAATTAGTTTACAGAGTTTCTCAGGCTTCACAATCTCTTAACTCTCAGGCAGATCGTTGTTTGTTTATTTCTACTAAGAATGAAATGGTTGCTGCAGCTCAAGCAGCTTACTCGTTTTGGCAACAGAGAGCAAAGCTTAAATGGGATGCTCTGGGGGATTCCCATTCCCGTCTTTTCTTTTCCTCTGTTCAATCTCGGAAACGGAAAGATAGGATTTTAGGACTTTGGGATTCTTCAGCAGTTTGGCCCCGGGAGCCAGATCAGAATGCTTCAATGACTTTGGAATTTTACAAGGATCTGTATTCGGTCTCAGATCAGGCTTCTACTTATAATTCAGAGTGGTGGGACAGTCTCCAATTACCATCTCTGTCTTCTAATCAACAGCATTTTCTCATGAAGCCTTTTTCGTCGGAAGAAATCAGGATAGCTATCTTTATTGTTGATGATAGCAAGTCCCATGGTCCTGATGGGTTTCCATCAGCTTTTTTTAAGACTTTATGGAATACGGTGGGCCCCTCAGTTTTTTTGGATGTGCAACATTTTTTTTGCTCCTGGTTATCTATTGAAAGACTGGAATCGTACGTTCTTGGCTTTACTTCCGAAAGTGGATAGTCTGGAAGTTATTTCTCAATTTCGTCCGATAGGTTTGTGTAATGTGATTTACAAGTGTATTGCAAAGTGCCTTACGGGTCGTCTTTGACAGGTGTTACCTAGTTTGGTAGCGGACATTCAAAATTCCTTTGTTCCAAGCCATCTTCTTTCGGATAATGCGTTGATTGCACATGAGGTTCTTACCTATGTGAACAAAACAAGAGCAAAGAAAAGGTTCTTCACGGCTATTATATTGGACATGAACAAAGCCTATGACAGAGTTAATTGGGACTTCCTGTTCCGATTGCTTAAGGCGTATAGGTTTCCCCCTTATTGGATCCATATTATTCGCTAATGCATCTCCACTGTCTCTTATCAGGTTCTGGTTAACACTAATCCTCTTAGGGCTTTTCAGCCGCAGTGTGGTCTTTGTCAAGGTGATCCTTTATCCTCTTATTTATTTGTTCTATGTATGGAAGTCCTGTCCACTATGCTTCGCAGGGCGGAGCGTTCTTCGCTTTTTGAAGGAATCAGTATTTCACGAGGAGCTCCCTCGATTTCTCACCTGTTCTTCGCTGATGACTCATTATTATTTTTGGAGATTAATCTTGAGGCCTATGACAATATTATGGCTTTGTTATCAGAATTCTGTTCTCTGTCTGGTCAGGTGATTAATCTTCAAAAATCCTTTGTGAAGTTCAGTCCCTATACCCCTTCAGATTATTGGGATTTCCTTGCTCGAAGTTTAAAACTTCAGTTTAAACCTACTTTGGGTTCTTATTTAGGCTTTCCTGTGGAGTTAGGTCGAAGTAAAGTTTTAGATTTTGGCTTCCTTATTGATAAGGTAATTCGTCGATTGACTAGTTTTGCCTCACTGGGCCTTTCATCCGCTGCGAAGTTGGTTATCATTAACTCGATTCTGGCTGCCTCGTTCAACCATATTCTCTCGGTGTTTAAGATCCCTTCTTCAATCTGTACTAAGGTGGATAATCTGTTGGCCCGTTTCTAATGGAAATCGGACTCTTAGTCTCGCGGGCTAGCTTTACGCTCCAAAACTCTTCTGCATCTCCCCAAAGGAGTGGGAGGTTTGGCATTCGTCGTTTGGATTCCTTCAAATCTGTCCTTCTGGCTCGGCAATGTTGGCGAATTCATCAGAACCCTCAACTTCTTGTTTCTAGGCTTTTTTTTCTCAAAGTATCCTTCTCTTAGCTCTTTTCAGACTAGATTGATTCCTGGCTCATCTTGGGGATGTCGCGAGCTATTGTAGGGATTGTCAGTTCTGTCTTAGGGTATAGCTTGGAAGGTAGGTTCTGGTTCTCATGTTCGTATTCTTGAGGATTCTTGGGTTCCAAGGGACCCTATCTCTTTTCGTGACAATAGTGAGATGCCTCTTCCATCTCATGTTTCTTCTATCATTAATTCGCGTTTGCGTGGGACACGACTCTTGTTCATCGACTTTTTGATTCCTCTGCTTCAAGTCGCATTTTGGCTTTGGAACGTCTGAGTAGACCGATGGATGATTTTGTGTACTGGAAATTTTCAAGGGATGGTAATTTTACTACTAAGTCTGCCTATGCTTTGCTGCTTCGCAGACTTATTCACTCCAATGGGGTGTCTTCTTTCCCTCCTACATGGTGGAAGGTGTTTTGGAATCTGCCTGTGTTACCAAAGTTACAGTGTTTCTGTTGGAAACTCCTTGTGTCCTCTGTCATGGAAATCAGGAGACGATTGACCATTTGTTTCGTGACTGCTCATTCATCTCCGGTCTTTGGTCTGCAACTCCAATGATTCAGTCCCTTACTATACGTCGCGATCAACCTTTCACTAATTGGTTTGTTGACCAGGTGTCGTCTTTACGAAAGTCTAGATCCTGGGAAAGTATAATGAGTTTGGTTTCCTTTTTATGGGCTATCTGGATAGCGTAAAATCATAAGATTTTCCGACAAGCTGTAATGCAGGATTGGGTTTCTCGTGGTTTAGCAGTTAAAGATTTTAAGGATTCTTTTTCTACTTCTAGTGCTGGTTCTTGTTCTCGACATCGGCCTTCTTGCTCTTCTTGTTGCATTCAAGGCACCTGGGTTTCTACATTTGATGTTTGTCTCATTTTTGATGGGGCTTATACTGCTCATGATAGCTCCGCAGGAGCAGGTTGGGTTTTCCGAGATCCAGGTTCAGATTTAGTGATCGGTGGAGGCTCCAGAGCGTTCCTTTCTTCCTCTGCTGTTCACTCGGAGTTACAAGCTTTTCTCTGGGCTTTGAAGACTGCTGATCGACGTGGTTTTAGGCGCTTGTTGATTTACATAGATTGCTCAACTTTATTATCTTTTTTCCAGGATAGAGGAGGTAGGGATATTTCTTGCCTCTGGCTGATTCAGGATATTAAGGATGCCATTCAAAGATTTTCAGCTTGTGAACTTCAGAAAGTCCCTAGTCAGTGGGTAGCTCCAACTCTTTGGTTGGCTATTCAGGGTCGTCGTCGACGTTTTATGTTTTGGTCCTTTTAAGTTGTATTTGGATTCTATGTTTTCCTTTATTTTTAGCCCGTCTTGTCAAACAAAAACAAAAACAAAAAAAAAAAATTTAATATATACTCCCTTCGTGTTTTTTTAAGTGATACATTTTCCATTTCCGGCCGTGTTTTTTTAAGTGATGCATTTCCTTTTTTGGCAAAACAATATATTAAAATATTATATCTCTCTCCTCTCATGGTCCCCACCCAAACCCATTACTACTTTTTTATTATATATTTTCTCTCATATTCATTACTTTTCAATAAAATATTAACCCCATTATCTTTTTAAAAAAAAAAATTAATACTCCACTATCCCACTTACCTCTTATTTTATTTAAGTCAATTAAATTGCCTAAAACTATGTGCCGGTCAATATATATCACTTAAAAAAACACGGAAGGAGTATATATATAAAAATTCGATGATGAAACTGACAAAATAATTCCAATACTTAAATTTTTTTTTAAAAGTACGCAGTATTATTTACAATGATCTGTTCTAAGCTAAGCCAAAATATCCTCAGTTACTGAAGAGGACTTACACTTTTCCTGTTCCTGTGTATAACTGTAACTTTCTCTGCCTGTTGACATCTCTACACTGCCAAAATCATTTACAACGTTCTATTCCTTCTATACATGTTTCAACATGCCTAAATTACCCAGCAAAAAAATATGTAGCTTAAGAAGTTCAAAAGTTTCAATCGTTGGGTCAATGCGCTGCTTCCTATACGATGTGAAGTGATACTAAACTTCTAACCCCTTCTCTCTAGCTGCTTCAACAATAGACTTCTTTTTGGCCCCGGCTGACTGATTAGAAAACGACTTCCACAATTTGATAGAAAATGGAAAAACTAACAAGGCTCTCTGATGGAAGCTATCAAAGATTTCACGCACGCTTGTTAGCTTACCCAGCAAATCTGCAGCTTCCACCCACACATGCTCTGGTGGGAATGGGATGGAATGATATATTGTGTTGACCAGTAATGAGCTTGCCCAGAACAATATACTGGCAGATTTAGAATCGCTAGAATCAAAATCTCGGCAGACCATCTTACAAACAGAGATCACAAGCTGACAATTGGCAGGTGAAACTTCAACAATTGCTTCAACAAAGTCCACCATATCTTTTAGCTGGTCAAATTTTGGAGGCAAAGATGAACCAAACCAAATCTCAAGAACTGAATTGACCAAGAAAGAATCAGATGAAATGGGACTCAGCATGTTATGAACAAGTTGCCTTGTTCTAGGTTTTCGGATATCTTGAATGAATTTTCTGGTCAATGGTTCCAAGACAGGAATAGCCCGAGCATGAATGATATAACCCTTCAGAATGTCTATCAATCCACGATTAGATACATCCTTCGTCAACTGAGATCCATAATGGAACAAAAATGCTGCATGCTCCTTGACGCAGTGCCTTAAAACTTCACCATTAGCACCCTTCAGAGCTTTGTCAACTGCCTCGTGAGCTTCAAGTACATCATTCTGGAATAATTTATAAAGAGACAGATTAAGAAGCCCAAATACAATATCCATATTGTTATAATTGGACATAGTACTCAAATTGGATTCCAATTGAGGATCTGCCGATACACTCTTACTGTCATCATTCTCACCATCAACTGATCGATTATGAAGCAGCAGAGGCACCCCAGCTGACTGAAACCATTGGTCCATGATTACTTTTGCCCTATCAGGTCTGCCTTTCTCAAGTGCATACTCAACATATTGATTCCAGACACACTGACTTCCTGAAACATTTTTAGGCCAACTGCTTACAGTTTTCTCAAATTCTTCAAGTTTTGCACTTTCATCACCAAAATCATGAGCTCTTGCCGAAATTAAAATGAATTCTAAGCATGAAAAATTAAGGTTTTTGTACTTTCCTATAATTGCTTTACAACTTTCCACACCATCTATAGCTTCCATAAGCTTAATATGGTTAATTGCCAATAGATGAGCTGATTTAAGAGTGTTGCTCTCAAGAGATTCGCTGTCTATATTCAGTCCTACTGAATCAATAGCCAACTCCATTAGCCTAGACACATGCTGCTTTTCTCCAACCGTTAAATGGACAGATGGCCACTCTACCAAAGATATATCTTTCTCAAATTCAAACTGCTGCACCAGTGAATCAGGCAGTTTCCTGTAGATCACTAAGTACACACAACAAACCCAGAAGATACATTTGTCAGATATTGTTAAGCATTGCAGAATATCAGAAAGCAAAAGAGAATGAGACTCATCAGAATCTCCATCAGTGTGAACAAGTCTTTCGATCCTCCAAACTGCCTTTGCCAAATTCCCAGATACACAAAAACAGTATAACATCTGCAAAAACAGGTCTAGGATGGTAGCACTTCTATGCTTCCACTGATCATTATTGGTGGCTGAATAGTGGCACAGCCTGTTGAGTGCTTTTTCATAAGCAGAAAATCGCTCAACTAGTTGTCCACGACTGTTGATATACAAGAGCCACAACTCATATGATGCCTCACAGTGCTTGACCTGCAGATCCCACATGAGAGAGAAAACAGGATTATAGCTAAAAAGTAGCTCCCAATTAGATTGCAGAATTAACAGATCATAAAATCCTATAACAGAAAAACACCAATTGATGAACGGGTGCGATTACAGGAAATCGTATGGAGTATGGACCTGAGTTAATCACACTTTAAAACCATCTAGTGCAGCACTCTGCAGAATAACAGAGAAAGTGCTGCAAACATTACAGATTCACAATCCCCATTCTATCATTTATAAAAAAATATTTGACATTCAGGGTATATATACGTAATAATTTGGAATTTCGACAAGGTATTGGAAAATATGCACAATTTGCAACGTATCTCCAAATACCCTCCCTTTTTTAGTTGCTTTCTTGAGGATATTCTTGACAAATTGATGCTAGATAAGTTCATATGTGCATATCAATCAATCAATTAATCAATCAAAGCCTTAATCCCATAAGTAGGGTTGGCTACATGAACCAATTTTTAGAGTTCAAATGTGCATAATTGCAACTAAATTCCACACACAAACACACCCCTTCCCAGTTGTCTTTCTTGATGGTACTCTATAAAATTTTAATCTAGTTAAGTTTCACATAAGGAAAAACCAATGGATGATAAGTTTAAATCACTTTAGAAAAGTAATTCTATTTAGATAACCTCAAATGCCTCAAGTAGCTGTTTTTCTCTACTATATTCTGTCTCTTGTGCAAGGATGTGCAAGTTTGAAAAAATGGACAAAAGAGACTCTAAAAGAAACAGTCTAACTCTCTCGTGTAGTTGTATACATACAGAGCCACAAATATATATTTCAGGAAAGAAGAGGGAACCCCCTCCCCATGATATTGTACATCTGATTGTACCTTATATCAATGTTACCTTTTTCCCTATCCATATATGTTTACAAGGATTACAAATTTACAATGACTCCCATAATGCCACAGAATCAGCTATATACCATTCATCACATAATCACGTGTATAATGTTTTTAACAACCACTATAGAGGTTAAATATGTCTACAACTTATTAAAACAGAAGGATCATCATTTGTAGACTTTACGGAGCAACATGCAGGTCAAAAGTCAATACTAGCACATTTCAATTTAGTGCATGTTTGAATTAATCTAGGAAAAGGATATAAGGGGAAGGTTAATCTTAACCTTATTAGTTGTTTTGTAAACTTAAGGAAAGGAACTACTTCTAACAAATTGAGGGTTGAGGAGGGAAACATTTATGTTACCATAGGGTTGGGAAGGGTAACATACAAGTGGTAATGGTTACCCTTAAAAAATGGAGTGTATTGCTCTATCTCTTATACCAAACAATTGGTAATGGAAACTGTAAATAGATTCCAATTCCACCACTTAAAACACTAAACAAACATGCTCTTAATTTTACATGATGAAGAGGCAACCATTCATAAAAAGGACTTACAGCATGAGAGAAAAGGTCATCTTCTGGAACTGAACTCTTCTTGCTGAACACCCCAACGGAGTACTTTGTAGAGTAAAACAGGAGCAGATAAATGATCCAGATAGGCAAAAATGAAGGATCGGCTTCAAGAGCTCGAGAAAGCACAGAAAGAGCCTGCATATAAGAACACTAAAGATATGCTAATCATGAAAAGAAAGAATCATCAACTAGCTCATTATATTGTAAAGGCTATGGAAAATACCTTCTTCATACCCTCATTTTTGTTCACCTCCTGACTCAATACAATAAGAGCCATTTCAAGGGATTGGTCATTATCAGCTAAACCATTTCGCAGTGGATTCTAATCAGCATCGAAGTAGAAGTGTGAGGAATACAACCAAGAAAGTATTGTTTAGGGGTTATAATTAGTGAAGCAGTAATATAAACATAAATAAATAAAAACCAAAAGTATGATGCTCAAGGTACTTCAAAAGATTTCTACCAGAAAAGGCAGCAATTCTCGAAAAAGCAGATTTAGAGACAAAACACTGAATCATAAGTTCGTAGCCCTATATATTTACTCGCTAAACAAGTTTCAGATCATGCATATTGATATCTGGTACATGGTAAAAGTCGTATTCCTCAGGGTTAGATTAACAAAATTAATAGCTCCTATGTTTCAATAAAATTGCAACACTTTTACAATGGACTAAATTGCCATTTTGCCACTAATGAGCTTATAGCCGACGATGGAACCAAAAACAGTGTGTATTCCGTTTCTATGAAGGAAGGATAAAAGGAGTAAAAAAGAATATTTTAGCAAATTGTTATTTATTGATTATAGCATTATACTCCCAAGTCCCAACATATTCCAATCAATATACCAAAGAAAGCATTAGCAATTTATTTTTGATTCCCAACCAACAATTTCCAATACAATTCCCACCCTTATGTGCTCCAATTCCAATTCCCACATAATACTATGTTACCCAAAATCTCATTTCACCTCAAGTACCCGTGTTGGATCCTTGGCACTCAGACATGGGTAGGACACTTCAACACTTCATTCTACACCAAAATTATACTCCCTCTATTTCTATTTAATGGACACACTTCCCATTTCATGATTATCAAGAGTTTTATTTAGAGGAAAAAAAAAATTAAAATATGAAGATGACGTATAAAAAAATATTATTTGAAAAAGTAAAAGTAGCTAGTCCCTAAAAATAGTAAGTTACAAGTTAGTAAACTAAAAAGAAACAGAGGGAGGAACTTTTACAAAACAGCCGACATACCAATTTCTCTGAAAATAATGACTGAATTTTATTCCTCTTTTAAAGGGTGATACATGGATTTAAGCAAATTGTATTACTGGCTAAATATATGGATGGCTTTGTAGTACAATCCCAAAAGAGTTGGAAGGATACAAGCAAGAGCTCTACCTGCGTTGATTGTTGGAAATTCAAACAGTCGACTTTTACCAGTTCCACATAATGCAATCACTAAAAATACTTCTTCCGTTTTTTTTTAAGTGACTTTGACCGGCACATAGTTTTAGGTAAAGTAATTGACTTGAATATAAAAAGATATAACTAGGGTAGTTGGGGTATTAGAATATTATAAGAAGATAGTGGGGATAATACTTATTGAAAAATAAGGAATTTAGTGGGTTTGAGTGGGAACCAAGATAGAAGAGACATTAAAATGGTGTAGTTTGCCAAAAATGAAAATGAAACACTTTAAAAAAACAATGGCCACATTTGGTAAGTATAACACTTAATTAAACGGCGGGAGTAAGAAGGAAAATTAGCAAAATAAAAAAACGAAAAACTGCAATTTTGCTATGGGGAGCACAATTCCAAATTTAGGGAATAGCATACCATGGTATAACTATCAAGACTTGTGCTGAAGTATAGAGTGCTGCTAGTGACAAAATATTCAGAGACCATTCCACCAAGCAATATATTTAAAGATTTGGATAAATATTTCAAAATAAATCATCAAAAAAACATCTTCATTTTTTTGTTTTTTATTTTTTTATTTTGGAATATTAATTCTTGATTTAATACCCTATGTGCTTTTCCCAAATTCTACAATAGAATATTCCCAAATATCGCACCACAAGATAAACTGTATCTTAATGTCAATATGCTGAAATCAATCAATAGTTGAATTCTGACGTGCAATCACCTAGTATGTATTATGCTACACATCAGATCAATACTTAGGAATACTTTACCAAACTGCAGTTAATAAATATAAAAGGGCAAGCCGAGAAGGAAAAAAAAAATAAAGGAAAAGAAAAGAAATCAAAATACTAAAAGGTCGTTCCTCAATCAGCCAAAATTTAAGTTACGCCTAAGTTTAAAAAAAAAAAAAAAAAAAAAAAAAAAAAAAAAAAAAAAAAGTTGACTGTAAAATTTACTATGTAGACACATAATAACATAGACAAATTGGTTATGCTACGCAAAGATAGAAGTGATAATTAAAGATAAATGAAAAGGATGAAGTGAACAAACCCCAGAGCCATTTCTACTTTGAAAATACAACGAATGCCCACTGCCACCATAAGAATCAACACAACCATCATTGCCATGCAAGCAAGGTTCATCCGAAGGAAGGTGTTTTGTGAGGGAGCTTGAAACAGCCAAAGATTGGCTGAAACTATATTTCCCAGACGACCCAAAATCACGATTTTTATGAGAAGCATGGGAGTCATCCTTCAAATTATCCAAGCATACTAGATATTTTGGAGGGGTCAAGACACAAGAAAATTCTGTCTGGTCCACAGGGTTCTGACTATTTGATGCCCAGGCAGACTGATGATCTACAAAAGAGGATAAAATCATAACCTTCTCAAAATCAAGGTTTAATGTGCAAATTTTATCAACTTTATGTCAAAAAAAATAAATAAATAAAATAAGGCATACATACATACATACATACATACATACATACACACAAACTGACAAACACACGCACACACACACACACATATGCATACATACCATCACTATCGGAATAATCTTTTGCATGCTGCCAAGGGCATTCATCATTGTTGCATCTTCCTCGAAGTTCATACATACACAAAGGCCAAAAAGGATCAATCACCGACTTGCTGGTATAAGAGTCAATCTTACCAAAGCCCACACATTTTACAAGCAGCTCAGCAGAGCTTGTCATCTCCAAGCATAACTTATCTTGATTTTGTCTGAAGAGGAAGTTATGTTTAGTGAGTGTATCAAGGTTTCCATAGTAACGTTCTTTACTCTGCATACTACCCAAAATTGCTGAACAGGCAGCCTTCATTGCACTCCTGAATGTAAAGGATGACGGAATCATAGATGTTGATGCAATATCCACAGAAAGAAAACTGCATTCCTCAGGATTAAAACTACGAGCAGGAGAGTCACTTAAGCAATGCTCTTCAACAACTTGCTGGTTTTGAGTGTTTGGCAAAGTCTTAGATATGCTGTCTTTGGGCTGCTGGGGACTATCTGCATCATTAACAACCAGCAACCTACTTTCAGTATAGCTTTGACTACAGTTTCCATTAGATTTTTGCAACAAATTGTACAACTATAATTCTGCTCATTACAGTTGCAATGCTGATTTCTTTTACTAGAAAAAAACAAAACTCATATAACCAACCACAAAAACTAGCCTGGCTGGACCACACCTAGGAACCCACTACTAAACATAACAAGTAAGAGGCACATTTCCAAGAACTCAGACAGTGGCACCATAAAGTGACTTCGATCAGATTATTAATATTACGATAAAAACCACTACCATAAAGCCAATAGATCAAAGCAGAAGGCTTATTCAATCACATTTAAAGCAAACATAAACATTTTTTTGGCATTACCCTCTCATTAGCATTTGTATTGTCCAACATTAAATCCCCACTTGTGAATCTTAACCACAAACACCAAAGAAGTACAAGGACGCATTCTATTAAGGAGCTTCTCAGTTCCCCTAACCTCCAATGTGGATCTTACCTTTAAAGGAGTTTGAGAAATTTAAGATAACACCGCTTTATCCTTGACCAGTGTCACCTAATTCTCCCCAACCCCCCGCAAAGAAAGATCCAAAAAAGGAGAATTACACTAGCAATTTGGTAATCTTGGCTCAATCTAACATACTAGGTAGCAAATTGTTCCCATACCGAATGTCATACTAGCAAATTAGGCAAACAGTCCTTGACCCATATATAAATCTAAAGTCACAAAAATGAAAATGTTTTCAAAAATAGAAACAGTTAAATGGAACTTCAGTTGGTCAAAAATATTGAAGTAAATCTCTTAAGGTACTTATCAAAATACAAAGAACTACGTTTAATCTAACTAAAGATGCTTTGGGTATTGTAAAATGGCATAAAATATTGCAGTTATAATACTATAAATGATCTGCGATTCTAATTAATAATATAGAATGCCAAGTATTTAACGTCATGAATATTCTAGGATGACTTATATGTTGGATCTAAAATTTATGGGTAAAACAATCAACAATTTAGATTGGAGGGAGCAAGTACAAATTATACTATTAATATACACTTGCAAGATAGCAATTTTTAACACAATTCTCTAATATAACAGGCAATATGAAAATGATGCTAAGTACGAGAAATCAGTGGATGAAAGAGGGTTCCGAAGGTGCCAGTCTGCAGTAAAATTTGAAAAACATCTGTACACATAAATAACAGCAGAAAGGCAGAAATTCGTGTGAATCCAAATTCCAAACTACAGGTGGGCTTTGGAGGGTTCATGAGATAGCCATAGCAAGCAAAACGATCTTCTTCAAAAAGAAATTCAAGAAACATAAAAATAAACACAAATATAAAACAGATTAACAGCCCACTCAGATAATAGAAACAGAGCCCACTCGGATGAGAGAAATAAATGGCTTTTTCACAGCAACACTAAGAAGAGAATGGTAGTTGAAACAGTTATATGATTTCTTATCTAAGACTAACTAAACCAGTCTCCAGCAGCAAGTACAAATTTACAGCAGGTACTGTGCTAAAGTGCTGGGCAATGTAAACACTCGATAATAATTCTTATGAGGTTGAGATAGAGAGAGAAGAACACTTTGTCACTAACTAGCAATATAAAAACAGACATGGAAATAAATAAATTCAGAACATCAAGGAAAACAATACACCTGAGACTTATTAATACGGCATTAGCAATTAAGCATCACTTTTTCAATGCAAGTAAAGATGAGAGTAAGTCTAAAGCTTCTAACTAAACAGTCAGTAGCAGTACCATTAGGATCAGAAACTGAAACACTCTGCACTATAATCTGAGTCTTGACACCAACGCCTTCCTCTGCAGCCCTATCCACCACTGATTCACTGTTATCACCAATGCTGTTACGCTTTAAAGAACTCACCCCAAGCCGTGAAATCAATTTGGATCTCAGATATTCTTCAAGAAATAATGGATCCTGAGAACCATCTGTTGAGAAGCCAGTAGTGGAGTCCACGTCTGTATCCTTCTCATTTTCTTTAGAATCTTCCTTTGATCTTAGAATTGTTGCATTGGTATGGAGAGATCTATTGTCCAGAGGAAAGGTCTCACAATCATCATCTGGGGACATGTTGAGATCAACCGATGGTGAGCGAATACCATTGGAATCAATATTATTTCCACGAACAAGATCAGATGTGCTAGCATCAGGTTCACTGCATGCTTCAGATCCTATGTTGTGTCCATCCTCATTTGCAGAATATCTATTGTGTGCATCACCATCTGCACTTTGGACTGTTGAATTATAACCTAATCTGTTAGCAGCTTCAAACTCATTTAGCTGATGGCTTGATGGAATTAAATCCAAATTAACTTCAGATATATTATTTGCCAAATTCCATTTTTCTTCAGCTTCATTACGTTGCCTCGAAGAGTATAATAAACTTGAATCTTCCATCAGACAAGAACGAAGCTGGGCAGAATATAGTTCCCTTTTGCGATAAAGATAAGTGCAATGGGCATTAGCTTCAAGTAGTGCTCTCTGGGCTCTACGATAAGCATTAAGAGCATTTCTTTCTTCAACTTCACATTTCCACCTGTGCTCTTGTGCTTCTTCCAGCTCCTTATCATGTAATTCCTCCAGTTCGAACATAGACTGTAGATCCAAATCACCACTTCTGAAGGCTTGAGACCTCCCCAGACGGAGTGAGAGATTAGAGTTGTCAATAGGCACCTTTCAAAAAGACAGTTAAAGTATGATCAGACAGAAGCAAACAAGAAAAAATATACAAGAATAAGTCCCAAAAATACTGTTTTTTCACAGGCTCGTACGTCAGGAGTCTCAAACTTGCTATTTGATACTTGTAGAGAGTGCGCCTGCAAGCTACCATCAGAAGTAGACTTCACTTTCTTGAGAGCAGATGTAGCATCACAATTATCATTGACCTTGTTCTTATTGCTTTCTTGTATATCTTGGTTTGGGGCAGATCTTGACGGCTGATTCTTACTTGTCCCACCTGGATGCTTTGACATCTCAAATACAACATTAGAACCATTTAATGAGAGGAACAGAGAGCATTCTGAGAAAGAAAAAAAAAGACATATGAAGTGTGCGCGTGTATACAAATATATCTCCATCCTATTTTTCTCGACAATGTAAACGGTGGCTGTCTCAACTTTTCAGCCACTAAAAAAAGATAGTGAAAAGGAGGAGGTTTTTGGTTAAATATTATAGGTGATTGGCCACGACCGCCATCTTGTGCATGGTTTTCTCATTTTAGACAATCCCTATTTACTAATTATGGATTTTTAGATCAGAGCAGCAGGCTCATCAGCATGTACTTGAGAAAATCTTGCAAAACTAATCAAGCAATATTATGTACTGACTACTTTAGCTAAACATCTAACTGTAAGAACAAGCCATACTTCTCAGTTCTCACAGAGACATCATAGATAGGTCTACGAAGATAATGACATTCATATTATTAAATCATGTCCAACTTACTGATCTTTCTAGAGGGTCAGTTGCATTCATCAACGATGTGTTTTGCTTTGGCAAAGAAATCCAGTCTGACAAGCTACAACTAACAGTCACACCGGGAGCTGCAAAGAGATCACCACATAGTATTAAAAATATATATAATATATATAAACCATAAGCAAAAGCAAATTTTAAAAGATATATTGGGGGGCTAACCATCTGTTTTTAAGCGTTTTCTATCAGGTTGTGTCGGTAAATTGTCAGGTACTGATTTGCATTTCCTTGAGGCTTTTCTTTGGCTCGAGGTATTGGTCTCTCTATAAGACTCAGAGACATTTTCCTTATTCTGTTGCACCGATTTAAGCTTTAGTTCATTTTCACGTACTGCAATCTGATGGCGTAGGTCTTCAAGCTTGCTATTGCTCATGTCCAAGTTTTTGCTGCATCCAGAATCCTGGCTTGCTAAGCTTTTTCCTGTAGCATTGGAATTCTTCAGCCAAGATTTCTGCTCAGCTAATGCAGATGAACCACTTTTCACGTTGGATTCATTAATTTTGGTCATCGATGAAATATAAGGGCGACTTGAAGGCGCCTTTCGAAGAATTGCCTTCCCTTCATTTTTTGCAGTCTTGCTGACAGTTTTCATTGTTACATGTGGCAAAGTAGGTGGTCTTCTGTTGCTGTTTAGCACAAGTGGAGGTCTACTACATGATGATGCCTTTCCGCTTCTTTTTTCTTCAACATCACTACCACTATCATCATCATCTGAGAAACTAATCACTAGATTATCATTTGAACCTCGTGCAAGCCATCCAGAATTACTCGGCTTTAATTGAACTTGGTTCTTACTAAATCCTTTACGATAAGGTGTCTGGGCCTGACTGTAAGTGGATCCTCCAGGAGTTCCAGAGGTCAACTTGCCTACCAAAATTCATTTTTGTAAGATTTATCAGACATCAGATGACATTACAAAAACAAACTAATCAAAAATTCAACTCTAGGAGATAATATCTTAAGTAGGATGAACAAATTGAGCTCTATTGCCACCAACTAATATAAGTACAGATATAACGAGGACATTTAGGTCACAATGAAATTTTACACATCAAAGCCATGATTCACATACATTGCTTTACCCCAACCCCCCTCTCTCTCCCAAGAAAAATCTGCCACATATAGCTGAGCAGCACAGATTTTTAGGGACAATGGTATAACATTGAAAAGGAAACTTCCAGCATTTAACACTTGTAATATTTATACAATTAAGCAGCCAAACGTACTAATTCAGTATATTTTTCATTACAATATCTACGTAAATCTTCTGGTTATGAAGCAGCAGAGCCAGTGCCCTTTCTAACCAAGGTTCCAGCAGAAATAGCCTATCTGGTATTCTAGAAACCCCCTAAGTGGAATTTTTGTGATAGTTTGGCAGTGAGTCCAATTTTATAGAAAAAGATATAACATGCAATAAGAACGTAATGATCCTCCAAGAGATGCAATTGAACTTAAGCACTTTGGACTCAGGCATGCTTAAGCATCAAATATTGGCATGAGCAACCCAGCATCAACATATACATAAAAAGCAAGGCGGCAAGCATTACCGCACCCAAATATTAATAAAGGCGTATACTTATCTGCCACAAAACAAGGAAATAAAATAGGTACTTGACATAAAACTCCTAAAGTAATCAAAGCCAACAGACAAGCTTTAAGGCATGATGCGCTGAACAAAATTTTAACAAGCAATTCCTAACAAGAAGAGAAGTATATTCTGATGCCACTAACTTGCTGAAAATAAAAGAAATGCAACACTTAAGGCAAAAGTATCAAACTATTAGAATCGACATTTCAACCAACTGTATCTTCAAAGGACACTTAACAGGAAACTTTAAAAGAGATTACCAACAAACCAAAGACTTTGAAGATTATTTCCAACTACAAAAGCTTCTCTAGGGGATAAAAATAATTTAAAAGTGAATTTGTCTTTGATCAGCTAATCCATGCATTTTCTATTGCAAAACAAAATAATTCACTCAAACAACTGCATATATTCTAAAAGACAAAATGGTTCAAAAAAGAATTTGAACAATCAATATCATGCATCCCAAAAAGAAACATAAAGTGACACATGAAAATACAAAGCAATTTCAGCAATTTTACGTAAAAAAGTACAACAATTCAGCGCCATGGGTGAGGACAAAATCACATTAGCCAGAAGCTACCAACTTCAGGATCCAATCTTGACCTAGCACGACTGTAACTTGCACATCCCAATGAACTTTGAAATTGCAACTCCTCTAACAATCCAATTAATTTGAACCATTGAGCACTTTGCAGTGTATACTGTTATCTTGGCTTCGTCTTCAAATTCAGTAAATTCATTGAAAATGAGCCAAACAACAGTGAACCTCACTCACAACCCCCTTTACAAGTATTATAGAAAGGGTTCAAAAAAAACATGAAGTAGTCTAACCAAGGGCAATACCTCTTCCATAACTGCAACATTTTTTAAATCCCTCTTTTAACCCCAGTATTGTTTCAAGATATTAGGACCCAGTGAAGTTCAAAATTTGTAGCACAACAGGCAAAGCCTACCTGAGTTAACACCCTGCAAAGTTGTTCTCATTGATGATGGTGCATTTGGAGCAGACCCGGATAGAGGCGGTATGACGGAGCCAGTCACAGGACCCTGAAAGACCATACGTAGTAAATCGATTTTTATTGCAGTATAGCCTATATAAAAACTGACACCAGAAAACGAAATCCAAGATCACAAAATTAAACCAATCCAGCCTTGCTAATAGCACGAATTAATCTGGTACACAGAATGGAACAGGGATAGCTCATTCGCATGGAACAGGAAATTCTCGCTTTCAGCAAATTGATTCAGAGAACCCGAGTCTTTTCATCAATAGGTCATGAATCAAAAATTAATTAAGTTTTAATAAATTATTACGAAATTACTGACCCAGTTTCCAGTCTCCCTATGAAGTTAATAGGTTAGTCAATAAACTAATTAAATTTCTAAGCTCACTATATCCAAATTTGGAGCGGAGGCATTCATATTAAAATGATGGATCCAATCATTCTTTTAAGTCAATATATCAGTATACAAAAACATGCCACTCAATACCACAAGTATCTGAATACAGCTTTTGACGCATTTAATAATTTTCTAACAGAAAATTGTTATCACATGCGATGCCATTATCCACCACGTGTGATAAAAGTTTCCCTTTCCCTATAAATGAAACCTTTCACTTTTAACAGAAAACTGGTTATACAAAAATACAAAATCTTAAGCTCCTTTTTATCATCATTTGCATTTAAGAAACACATGATATATGAGGCGTTAACACTCTATAGTGGGAGCACTAATCTGACCCTAAATTAATTTGTCCAATCATACAATGCTCCCAAAAACCACTAATGTTGCCATGCTTATTAAAACCGCTAGTCTGACACAAGCCCCTCCTCAGAAGCATTCCTCAACATTTCAGTAATTTTAGTATAACCACTCATAGATTAATTAAAGTCCAAGTAAGGTATCGAATTTACGCGTAACATTAGTCGAAAAAAAACTTTCGATGACACTCGATCAAAAATACTCCAACTCACTAGACCCTGGCGCCATATCCAAACCCTAGACCACTTCCTCCAAAATACAAAAATAGGCACATAACAACATTTTACGAATGATTAAGCAAGACAAAATAGCGGAAATCAAAAGTTCAACAAATTTAATTACAAAAATCACAATTATAAACGAAAATTCCAGCAACAACAACCGCAAAAGCAAGTGAAGCAGCAAATCGGAGTACAGAAAAAGCATAAAAATCAGCGAAAATCAAAATTGAACAACAAAATGAAATAAATAGAACTAAAATCGAGCAAAAAAATTGAGAATAGGAATAAAGGAAGTGAAATTTTTCGAGGAGAGAGAATACATCGTCGTCAGATGAAGTGAGCTCTCCTTCTTCTCTGACCTTTGATGGAGGGTGGGTTTGAGGAACAGCAGACGTTGTTGAAGCAAACGCCATTGATTTAGCTCGGAGTTCATCTTTGCAATTGGCTTGCATTTCTTTGACTCCTCAAATTCTCACTTTCTCTCTCTACAAAAATTCTGTGAATGTGGGTGGGAATTTGGGATATGGCGGTAGATGAGCTGCGATGTCTTAAAACTCAAAAATAGGGAAATGCCAATGTGTGAAATAGAGTATACTCGTATTTCTAATCTTGACGTATGAGTTACTTGTACTCCGTATGAGTATAGAGTAACTACTAGGTTAGACTCGTGCATCGTGCAATCTGAATATTAAAAATTCTACTTGTATATAATTATTTAGAACTAAGGATTAATGAGAGAAGAACAAACATCAAATACTCCTCTCATAGAGTGCACAGTTAAGGCTGTACACAGTTTGGTTTGGACCGTAACTAAACCGTATTTTAGCGGTTTGGTTTGGTTTACGGTTTATAAAATTACGGTTTGGTCTCGATTTTTTTGTAAATAAGGTTTGGTGTGGTTTTGCGAAAATTATAAACCAAACCAAACCGTAAACCAATTAACCGTATTTTAATATTTTTATAATTTTTAAATAAAAAAATTATTTATTATATATTAAAAAATATTAAAGAATAAATAAAAAAAACCATGAAAAATAGATAAAAAAAAAAAAAAAACTATGCGGTCAATACTATATAATTAATGACGGTTTGGTTTGATTTGGTTTCAATACTAATATCATAATATGGTTTGGTTTGGTTTGAAAAATTTACTAAACCGTATTTTGCAGTTTGGTTTGGTTTGGTTTGGACTCAAACCGTACCAAACCAAATCATGTTCACCCCTAGTCACATTAATAGCTACATGATATCTTATTAAACACAAAATTATAGTTATTACACTTTTGATAACAATACATATCAATCAAGCATGAAAAAAGAAGAAATTTCTTCTTGGCCCTGTTTGGCAATTGGCTGTTGGAGGTTGGCGGTTGGCTGTCGGTTGTTTTAGTTGGCTGGTTTGGCTGGCTGTTTGACTAGAGTTGTAGTGTTTGGTAAATTGGTTGTTGGGTGCTAGCTGTTGTTATAATATCAACACTAATGAACTAATATAGTACTTTAATATTAATTAAAATAATAAATTATTGGTAATAATAATTGTAAATTAATTACTAATTATTTACAATAAGTTTACAATAATTTTATAATAATTAGTTATAATTCAAATTAATTATTGGTTGTTAATTAACAATAATTGTATATAAGTTATAAATTGATAATTATCAATAGTAATATACTATAAATTACTAATATTACTCCATTTTAATACTAATTATTAAAAACTAATTATTGAATAATAATAATAATTAATTATTAATTATTAATTATTAATTATTAAATACTAATTATTAAATATTAAATACTAATTATTAATTATTAAATACTAATTATTAATTATTAATTGTTAATTATTAATTATTAATTATTAATTATTGATTGTTAACTATTAATTGTTAATTCTTAATTCTTAATTGTTAATTCTTAATTGTTAATTATTAATTATTAATTGTAAATTGTAAACTATTAATTATTAATTGTAAATTATTAATTATTAATTGTAATTATTAATTATTTAATTGTAAATTATTAATTATTAATTGTAAATTATTAATTATTAATTATTAATTATTAATTATTAATTATTAATTATTAATTATTAATTATTAATTATTAATTATTAGTTATTAGTTATTAGTTATTAATTATTAATTATCAAATAGTAATTAGGAATTATTAATTATTTATTATTTATTATCAAATAGTAATTAGGAATTATTAATAATTAAATTAATTGTTAATTATTAATTATTAACTATTAACTATTAATTACTAATCATCATATATTATGACTAATTATTATTAATCAAAAGTTAATTATGTCAACAAGCCAAAAGCTTCTCCAACTACCTTTTGGCTTAAAAGCCAGCTTTTCAGCCAGTTAAAAAAGCCACTATCCAAACATGTTTTTTTGGCTGTTTGATCAACTTGAAGAAGCCAAAAGCCAGCTGAAAAGCTGGTTTCCAAACACCCCCCTTGTATATAATTGTATTAAGCAACAAGATATTTTCAAAAGATTTCAATAGGAATAATAAGGAAAATTTGAATATTGTTTCCTTTTGCAAATTAATATGTTCGTGCATTGGCGCTGATGCATTTTAGTTTCTCATTTATTTGCGAGAGAAGGAAATTTTCTCATCGATTATGAGAGAAATAAATGGCAAAAGTAAATTGGATACAAATGGTTAGCAAAAGAGATATTAAAGAGTGTGGGTTAATGGAGAGAAAACAATCAATCAATAATAATACTAAAAGACATACTAGCAATGATACGTGTCATCTCCTCATGTATCCTTAGGTTTTTTTTTAAAAAAAAAATTAAGGAAACAAATCATTTACAAAAATATCCTCCGCTCCAATAATATTGCAACAATGAACTTTTAGCACTATTCATCACTCTTGTTTAACCACGCAATATGATTTATGCGTTAAACAAAATATAGTCATGTGGGATCTGTTAGATTCGTCTCATAAAATAGTTTCATAATATCAACTTTTTATAATTTCTACTCTTATACAATTATAGATAGCTAACATATAATGCGTAATTTCACCTTTGTTGTAATATTAATATAACAGAGGAAGTGTATTTTAAGATATTAGAACTCTTGACATGGGTTTTCTCTAATATCAATGTAACAGTACACAAGATGTGGACTGGAATCTCACTCTAAATTCACTAAGAAACAAACGAATTCAATGGAGAAATTGAAGGAATTGTGTCTTCAATAAATGCAATAACTAGATATATCAAGGATCACTATTATGGAGATAATAAGTTCATTCTCTTGGGTCGTCATCATCTGTTGCTAGACTATGAGCGATGATCTTTGGACTAGTAAAAAAAAGTCCAAAGCCCGCTAGAATGGATTCTAACAAGGGTATTGGGTTAAGCTCATTAATGGGCCTCATGAGCAATTAACTAATCATGAAAAGGATTGGGCTAATGTAGTTTGATGAGAATTAGGATTTGGGCATTGTCATGGACTCTTATTTAGAGATGAGATCTGTAAATTAGAGTCATGCCTAGGGTTGATTAATTAAGTCACAATTAACTTACAGTGAATTGTGAATCAAGGAAACCTAATCCCAAAAGCCCTAATTCCCCCTCAAACTCACGGCACTCTCTTCTTCCCCCCCCCCCTGGACTCACGGCCGGCCACCCCTGGTGGCGCGTGTGGTGATTCGTGGTGGTTCGTGGTTGGTTCGTTGTTCGTTCTTCTCCGTAGAAGGTCAATTGAAGGGTTCAATTGCAACTAACTAGCATTAGTGGAGGTCTTAATCCGTGTCCGTGGACCAAGTAGAGGAATCATGCTTGGGGTTCTTTGTCTCCCTTGTTCTTGCTCAATCACTTGTGGAATCACGCTTCAAAGGTATAAATTCTTGCTCTTTATGTGTTATGCATGAGATCCTTGGTTTGGTGCTTTATGATTGTGATTCATGTTTATTCAACAATAGTACCTATAATCTCCTACAGTGGTATCAGTTAGCCTCTTGCATGTACATGTATTGAGTATCAATTCTTTGATAATCCACAATTTAAATTTAATTAGGAGGGAGAATAATTTAATTATGGGTCAATTATTATATTAAATGTGATTTAACAATATAGAATCATTAAAAGTTGTTTATTTTGCTCCGAATTAGCCATAAAAAGATCCGAAATTTGCCCTAATATGCTCCAAAATTTCGACCCCCCAAACCCTAATTTCGAAAAATTTCGAAACCCTAACCCTAAATTATGAATTTTGTGTTTTGGTTTTGATTTAATTCATTTACTATGTAATTAATGATTTTAATTTATTGTTTTCATGATAAATTGTGAATTTTTCATGATCAAATTATTTAATTTAAGAGTTAAATTGAATTGGAGATTAAAATTCATGAAGAACCCTATTTTTGAGATTAAATATGATTTAAATTTAAAATTAAAAGGACCACATTAAGTTAATTAAATATTAACAAAAGTGTTTTGTTTTAATTAAAATCAATAAAAAAAAGGGTTTTTGGGTACGGCAGCCGCGGCTGGGTGGCGCTGCCACGGCGACTGCCACACCAGGTGGTCCAGGAGGGAGGGCGGGGCTGGGCAGGGAACTCGAACAGCAGGAGCAGCGACAGCAGTGCTGCAAAAGTGTTGTGTGTGCTGCTGCTGCTACCCTTGTGTTGCTGCTGTGCAGCGTACACCGCAAGGTGTACGGCCACCGTGGCTGGCTTCGGCTGGCCACACCACGGTGGCTGGAGCAAGTATTTCAAAAAAAATTATTTTATTTATTTTTGGATAAAATCAGGATTTCAAAATTTAAAATTAGTTTTGATTTTGAAAAGATAATTACCAAGATTAAAGTTGTAAAATTTATTAAGTTTGGATTATTATGGAGCAAAAGATTCTATTTGGATAATAATTGATCAAATAATGTGATTATCCCATAATTATTTTAGGATATTAATTGATTTAAAATATTTGGTTTGCTAGTAATTAGGATAGAATCTCCTAAATTAGTTTGGATAATCGTGAAAAATAAATATGATTTATCTTCCATAATTAAAATAAGATTTGATTCTATCTCATACCTAAATTACAATATATGATATTTTATGGTTGGTGTAGGGAATATTTCAAGCATTAATCCCAAGCTTGAACCCCCTGTGATCATACACTAAAGTATGGTGGCGTCCAAAGGGAAAGAAAGGAGAGCAAACGAGTCGCCAACAAGTTTTAGGAACTTGTAAACCGTTCACGAGGTGAAGGTTACACCCCTTAACGATCCATGAGATCGTCAACTCCAAAAGGTCTTGAACCAAATAGGGTTCGGGAATGAGAGTACGAATCCAATCTACAAAAGAAAGGACTCGCCCTATAAAATGGGCCTCTATTTTATTTTACTCGTATTCATGTGCGCTTTTTGACTAGCATGCAAATATTAGGTTTAGCCCTAAACCTGTTTAATCTATGTTGGTTGAATATTAATGCACAAATAAAACTATTATTGGCGATCACTTTAATTAAAATCATATTAGCCTAAACCAAATTATTAATTATCTTATTAAGCGTGATTTCAAGTACAAATTCCCT